GCTCTCTCGTATTTTATCGACTCGAAGGGGAACATTACGGGACGGCGTATTAATAAAACACGATCCATACAACCGACTCCTTCGCTGGATGAAGTGGCAACGTTATAGGCTGCGACGTTCACAAGACGAATGGGGCGCGGGCGGCTCTCGCATCCCGCCGGCTTGTTTCCTCCATTTATATCGGTCAATAAAACTGGATTAATTTTTCACATTGCCAACGAGCCGCGGTGATTTATGCGCCGGCTTTCAAGTCTTTATCTTTTATGCCGTCTTTTTAAATGAGAGCGATGGGGCATTGTCATGACGGAGGGCGGTTTGGTCGAAATTATGTCTAAGGTCACCTTATTTTTGGTGCTTTAGAGCGGGGAATGGGCAGAACCCTTCATCATTGGGTGAGGCGATGAGGATTATGGAGGATTAGGATTATGGTCCGGGAGCCATGTAGCTTCTGTCATCAGGGGTCAAGGTTGGGCTTAATGATACCCACCTTGCCGGTCTGCTTCTGTCATCAGGCACATAAATGCCCCAATTCAATGGCCCAGTTGGGCTCAGGTTGGGCTCTAGACAACTGCCATAAGGGGTGACATCAAGTGGTTCCTAAGGTTGAAACTACTCCACCATGCACACACTACACCAATAAGTTGGCCTAGTTGCAAGACACAGGCATATTCAAAGTTGGACAGATGTCTCCGCACTCTCGTGGAGACATCTGCCCACCTGTGGACTGCCTTTAGCAAGATCACTCAAGAGCTTTTATGCTTGAAGGCCAAAGTCACAACTTACCCGTGGAGCTAAAAAAAACGCTCCATCATCAACATACAGCTGTTTTTGAGAGAAGCTCCCCTCATTGGACAGGGCCACCATGGTGAAATCGCCTCCATGAAATGGTTTCTTTTGTTGAACCTGTGTCTACAATCAGCTGAAGCCTTCACCAAGTTGACCCGTGTGTGCTCCATCATCCACAAACAGTATTCGAGTGAAGTTCCCACCAATGGACAGGGCCACCATGGTGAAATCACCGCCAATAAAAGATTTCTTTCAATGAACCTGTGGCTACTATCAGCTGCAGCCTTCACCAAGTTGACCTATGTGTGCTCCATCATCAATATACAGAAGTTTTTCAGAGAAGCTCCCCTCATTGGACAGGGCCACCATTCAATGAACATGTGGCTACAATCAGCTGAAGCCTTCACCCTGTTGACCTATGTGTGCTCCATCATCAACATACAGCGGTATTCGAGAGATGCTCCCCTCATTGGACAGGGCCACCATGGTGAAATCACCGCCATTAAATGGTTTCTTTCGATCAACCTGTGGCTACAATCAGCTGAAGCCTTCACCAAGTGGACTTGTTTGTGCGCCATCATCAATATACAGAAGTATACAAGAGAAGCTCCCCTCACTGGACAGGGCCACCATGGTGAAATCACCGCCAATAAAAGGTTTATTTCGATGAACCCGTGGCTACAATCAGCTGAAGCCTCCACCATGTTGACCTATGTGTGCTCCATCATCAACATACAGCAGTATTCGAGAGATGCTCCCCTCACTGGACAGGGCCACCATGGTGAAATCACCGCCAATAAAAGGTTTCTTTCGATGAACCTGTGGCTACAATCAGCTGGAGCCTTCACCAAGTGGACTTGTATGACTTCCATAAAGATTCTCACTCTACATGGCTGGAGGGAACGGTATATGTAACACAGGTCATGCTAGTTGAGATGAAGGCATAAGCAAAAACTACGCTCTTGTTTATTCCAAGAAACGAGGATGGTAACAACCCGGGGATATTATCGGCAGAGGCACAATCGCAACTTCTAACAAATAATGAAAGACAAATTGTAGTCTGAGCGAGGAGTGTGATAGATTGCGCGTCTTGTGGGTCTTGTGAAGTTGGATCATGAGCTCTGTACAGTGGAGGATTGTTCTTCACAGTCTCCTGACAGACTATGTGACCGCTCAAGCCTTACCGACTGGGGAAGACGTCTCGGAGTCACAGATCCCATACTTCCTTATTAATATTAGGGACTCTTCTGTCCTAATGTAAAAGCTTTATGGATACACCAAAATGGTGGCCATTATGGATATATGTTATGGGAAGGCCTGCGGGGTTGGTTTTACACACATGGTAACGGTGTTTCGGTGTCCAACTTGCCACTTTATAATGACCACCCTTGTGGTGTAACCATAAATCTTCTTCATCAAGATGGAAGAGTCCATGGATCCCACCTCGCCATGCATACTAATAATTATTCCTTGACCCCCCCCGCAATCATCTTTTTCTTACGAGCCCAACCCACGAATATATATCCTTACGGGTTTGATAACGACGCTCTGAAATGTGTTACACCTCGTCAGGGATGGAACGTCCACAATCTGAGCTCAGATGAAATGAACACTTAGGGTTGGCGCCAATATCCGGCGGATGGCTCAGATCCAACCAATAGATGCCTCAAACAAAACAGCTTATCGCAGCTTGGAGATGCATATGTGGCAGATATTTGAGTAGGGATTCCTCCTCTTAGCTGATGGTGGCCTCCAGGAGGTATTAAAATTGCTCTTTGGATGATAAGCATCAAATAAGCACTCTGGGCACGTTGGAAGTCATTAACGCTCCTCCATAACAATGAGTACCCCCTTGTAGGGTTCTAGGAGCCCACTCTCCCATAGAAACCTTCACATGTCAAAAGCATCCAAAGCATACGTATATAGACGAATATTGGTCATAGGAGCCCATTGAAACATACATAAAGCATCAAAAACATACGTATATACACTATATAACCAAAAGTATTGGGCCCCGCCCCCTCCAAATCATTGGATTCAGGTGTTCCTCCAATCCCCTCCATGGCCCCCGGTATAGGATGAGGCTCCTCGGCATGCAGGCGCTTCTACAGACATTGGTGAGAGAACGGGTCGCTCTCGGGAGCTCAGTGACTACAAGCGTGGTGCCGTGATAGGTTGTCACCTGCGCAATAAGTCCGTCCGTGACATTTCCCGGCTACTAAATATTCCGCGGTCACCTCTTAGTGGTATTATAACAAAGTGGAAGCAACTGGGAACAACAGCAACTCAGCCACGAAGTGGTAGGCCACGTCACATGACAGAGCGGGGTCAGCGCATGCTGAAGCGCACAGTGCGCAGAAGTCGCCAACTGTCTGCAGAGTCAATAGCTACAGACCTCCAAACTCCATGCGGCCGTCAGATTGGCACAACAACAGTGCGTAGAGAGCTTCATGGAATGGGTTTCCATGGCCGAGCAGCTGCATCCAAGCCGCACATCACCAAGTGCAATGAATATTGGTCATAGGGGCCCATTGAAACATTCATAGTCCTGAGGCATGGAAAGCATACGTATATATAGATGAATATAGGTCATTGCCATAGCACAGGAAATGCAACAAGCCCTCATAAGTGACACTTGCCCCCTCCCCCAAGCAATGTGTGTGGATAGAGCAAGTAAGCGTGGTCTACGATCAATATGAGATGAGTAGTGTGGTCCTCATAGATGGAGCTCTCCACCAATCAGTGCCTGCGATCAATACGGAACACGTTCTATATATATAGCGCCACATACCTGATACAAGTGTAGTGATGGAGGGCATTCCATGGTGAGGCTGTGCGCCGCGGTTCATCACATAAAGATCGCAGATAGTGCGTCAACGCTTACTTAATGCGCTCGGTGGAGAGCTTGAAGGCCAGATTGAGGATCTCAGTAAGGACCATGTGACTGGTTTCATATTGATCGCAGACGCCGCTTACTCCCCCCATACCCACATATATTACTTCGGGGGGAAGGAGCGCTTAGGAGGACGTGATGGATTTTCTGTGCTCTCACGATGACATGCATGTGCCTATGTACGTATGCTTAGGATGCTTTTGGAGTTTTATGTTTTGGCAAGCCTGGATACAATTTAAATAGGGAAAAAATATGAGTTTATATAATAATATTATTATTATTATTACTATTATTATTGTTACTATTATTAGTAGTAATATTATTATTATTATTAATAATATTAGT